TTCCGGCGAAAGCCCGCGGAAGCCCAAGCTGAACAGCAATTGATCATCGTCCATGATTTGCAAGTTAGGGGGGAAGCAAAAAAGAGCTGGCTTCCAGATGCCAGAAGCCAAGCTGCATGGCGGCAGGCATCAAAGCCAGCAAAGACGAATCGACACAGAAGCTGTCCGCCTTTTCCTGAAACAATGTAGCACACACAGCACACAACCCCGCAGCCTTGTCATGCTCATGCTCACCAACCGGGCCTGCGCGACGGCGCGGCGCGAGCCCGGCTTCGAGGCGGTCGCCGGCGACCTGCACGGTTCGACATCCTTTTTGCTAAGGAAGCGCTAAGACAAACTGAGATCGACCAACATTGGAGACCGATCGACGTTGGACCTCAGAAGGCTGCAGATATTCCGCCCAAACACCTGTTCCCAAGAAAAATCTCGCAGAACTTGCCAGGACATGCCTAGATCAGGCATATTCTATCATATTCTCAGAATGAAGAGATGTCTATGACAGGAGTCGGAGAGACGAAGCAGGTTTGAAGGTGCTCGTGAAGCACTCTGCACCTTCGATGCCACTCTAGCTGGAGCCTATGGTGCCAGAGTTCCCGAACCCAAACCCTTCCACATATTTCCACATCTTCACGGGCTAGGCAGAGCCAGAGGCTTGAAGCCTCCACAACCGTAGCGAACTGGAAAGCATCACGAATTCACCCGTTGAAGACACCGGTGACACGCTTGCGCCCTTTGCAGACTGCCTGGGGCGGTGGGGGCATCGGCGGCATCGGCCTGTTCTGACAAGGCCGTGGAGTGAAACATCATGACCTATTTTTGAAGCACTCGTTCGACTGGCAGCATGGTCTCTGGGTAAGCTGTGGCAGTGGTTCACGGCACACAATGGTCGCAAGTTGTTCTGGCAAAATGCTTTTGCGCACGAGCGGTAGCGTCACGGATGGCAAACCCCATCAGCGTTTTTCTACGTCAATCATTTGCTTTTATGCCGAAAACCTTTATGAAACAAAGTCGCGGTGGGATGTTGTTAGAGGGTATCTTCGAGTGGTGCGGCCTTCATTGGGCAATGCACGCTGAGAAAATCATTGCACTCTTATTTGTGAATCATGGCGGAGATGACGCCCAGATGCGCCCGGGCATTATCTCCAAAACACTTGGTACATTTCTCGATTTGTGCATGTCACCATTACGCAGGTGCCATGCTAATCAATCTTCTCCGTATCGTGCCGGTGCGCACACACAGTCGCGCACATCCCTTCCGTCGAGAGGGCAATTTGGCTTCTGAAAGCCCAGGCCTCTCGAGTCCAGGCGGCAACGTTGGGGCATCAAACGGCGGGGGCACAGGCCTCAAGAAACGCACTTCCTATTGTTTTGTCTTGCTGCTTCGTATTGCTTCGTACTGCTTCGTACTGCTTCGTACTGATTTAAGCTCCAACGGAGGGGCAACGACAATGACTGAGATGGTTGAACGGTTCACTCCAAAGGTGACTCCAAGCATGCCGGAAAGTACCACACTGTACTTCCAAGCCAGATTGAGCGCTGAGCGTTCGAAAGTTTTTGCCGAGGTGCCAGGACGGAGTGGAAGTGGTCGGAGAGAACGGAGCAGGCCTGCAAGCACGAGCAAGACATGTACACAACGTGAACTTGTGACTTGTGACTGACTTGTGCCTGTGATTGGCAGCTCTGCCATATGTCCCGCCTTACTTCTGGGGTGGTGCTCAAGCAGGTGAATCGGCCAGCTCGCGCCTGGGCAGCTCACAGCTCGAGGCAACACGATAACAGCGCGTTCGGTGGCTGTACCAAGTGTCACAGTACTGCGGCCACAAGCCACAGACATCATGTGCCTCAGGAATGGCCGAACCCATAGATGAAATATAACATGTTCTATCTATGGGCTCGGCTCCCCTGGAACTCGGAAGGAAACCCGTCCCAAGACCCCATTTTCCCCTGTCACGCTGACTCGCCTCTCGCCCCCCCTATTCACTCACTCGTCCGTTCATAAAACCCACACTCATGTTCTCACTCCAGCACCTTGCTCGCGCGCATAAGCTTTGGAATTTAGGTCATTTTGGGTTTCTTCGGGCCTTCAGACCAGGGTTCTTTCTATGCATTCATAGGGTTCGGGTGAGGTGGCCCTTTGCTTCTCGAAGCCCATACGGGCGCAATTTTCAGCAAACAAACTCTGAACCCGAACTCTTATGGGTTCGGTTCCGTTTTCGGGCCGCCGCCTCTAGTTTGGGGGGGAACCTCACCAAAATGATGGATTTTATGCTCTTGCTGGCAAAGCCTTTGTTTCTAGCCGGCATAGGGTTTTCCTTGCAAATTCCAGGATGGCCCAACCCATTGAGAGAATACGTGATGTCAAAAGCCACAAAATGCTCGATGTTTCACTATAACCCCCGTCACCCAGTCACCGGAAAGGCATTCAATGCATTCAAAACCATTCAAAGACTTGGCATGTATGCCCTCTGTGGAAACTGACAAAGATAACTTGGAAATACTACGATGCGTTGACACGAACGGTCTGATCTTGACTCGCCTCGGAAGCCGCCCACGCCGCCAGAGCTGGCAGGCCGGAGCTGACGCAGTGCCTCACGGCCCAAGATCACATATTAGCCAAACCTTACACACTTTACACCTCTGCTCAGACCTGGTCAGAAGAGCAGCTTCATGTTTCACTGTGAGCAAGAGTGCACGGTGCTTTCACAATGTACTTAGCAGCTGACTCCCGCGTTGCATCCGTGCTGACTTCAGCGCTCTTGGGTCCAGTATGTCCAGTGGTCACGTGCATTGGGGACGACGGGGACGGAGCACGGATCTCCTTCGCAGCAGCTCGCTCTCTGAGTATTGGGATGCAAGAACAACGACGGCTCCAAGCTGGCGTCAAGATGCGTCGACTTCTGGCGCCTTTCGCCTGTTTTCAGTATTGTGATGCATCTTGACGTACTTTGCCCTGGCTCGACATGGGTTGAGGATCCTTGAGATTCAAAGGAGCCATCACTGCCTAAATCAAGCACTGGGCAGCTGTTGCAGTTGCCTCCTCTTCTGCGGGGGGCGGGCGGGGGAGGGGGTGTCAGACACAGGGCAACACGACATCACTTTCGTTTGTATTTCGTTGCAGCTGCGTCCTTCCAGCATGCTGCAGGGACGGGTACCTGCAGACAAAAGCACGCAATGCTCACTCCGAGCAGGTCTGCAAACCACCCTCCAAAGATAAAAAAGATAAGTCGAAGCTTGCAAACAGCATGTCAGTGAGCCTTCATGGGCATGAGATTGCGCCAGGGAGTGCGAGGCGAATCAGAAAGTGATGTATCCGAGCGGCCTCGGCGAAGAGCGACTCCACACCACAAAGCTGTCAACAGCATGCAGTGACTAGAAGTACGAGTAGCTTCGGACTTCAGCTCCTATGTAACCGAGATTAGTTCTGGAACGTGCAAGTGCCTGATTCACTGAACAGGTCACCATCTACCCTTGGTCGTATCCTCTGTTCTCGCTGAAACCTTCGATCACCTCGCAACAGCAAAAGGTCCGTTGATCGGGAATCGATCGCGAATCAGCCACCTTCTGAGCCTCCCCGAAAGATTATGCCAGCATAGACGACCCCGAACAGTGAGAGATGGCGCTTGCCACGTTTTCGTGCGACACGGAGCGATGCAAGCTGCAAAAAGCGGATGGGACCGAGGCAGGAGCACGATTTCGAGCACAGAACGTTCGCGGGATCAAGGCAAGAGCGCGATTTGGCATCCTCTTCGAAAGCTGGTGGAAACCACGTTTCAGGATGTTTCAGGAGCACCCAAATACCCGGCAGGCATGCCGGGCCAAAGGAGAGCACGATTTTCGTCCACGCAAGCAGGCATCGAGCGAGAACCACTGTCTGCACTGGCATCCCGCGCGGAATCAGAAGTCTATATAAAACCCATTACTCCCTACACTGGAACTCCATATCGGCACACTGAGGCAAACAAAAACAGTTGTTGGCGCTTTGAGATGTTCTGGACTTCTGCTTGGCCATGTGTCTTCGCGTTGGCGTGATCTCCTCGTGCGAGACATCAGTTTCATCGGCAGCTGTGCTGCGTGTGGACCTGAAATGCTAAGCTTGATACATGGAACTGCGCAGCTCACTGCGAATTGGTGGCACAACTGTAGCACACAGGACTCCTGCAACGCTGACCGTTAGCACAAAACTGCCTTTGCAGAGATCTTTACAGCTTGATCGCACCGAGCTGCTCCATGTCTTCCAGCTTCATTGCATCGTAAGGCGTCTTCGGGTTCGCCGTTGACTTTCCTGCGGCAACTTGCTGTGATGCTGGACGGGCAATGGCGGCAAGATTTCGGTGAGTGCGACGCACTTGCCCGTCCGAAAGCTCCAAGCAGGCGAGGTGGTTGATTGACCAACTCATCCACAAACTCATCCAACTTGGCCTCGAGGCCTCGCTGCGTCTGCGCAGCCGAGATCTCACCAAAAAGGCAACAAGTCTGGTCTTTTATGGTCTTTCAATTTGCAGACGAAGTGCTGAAAGGAAGCGCCATGGCAAGTGATTGAAGCTTCCTTGGATGGAGCGAGACTCAGGGAACCACACGAACGAGAAGAGTGCAAGCATCAGTCTCCTACCAGTCTCCTCATCATGAACAACAGACATCCGGCCACAGGATGCGCTTCAAGCACTTCATTCTGCGAACATTCCAAGAAAACAAGCGTATTACAAACCAAGAGTGGAGGATGTACCCTGCCCAAATCAGGCATACTAACTGTTGATCCATGATGCGGAGCAGCAGAGAGCCCACTTCGCTGCGATCGCTACGTGCGCAAGCCAAATGCTGAGCCGGACCGAGCAAGCTCAACTGACAAACCTGACATGCTGACACGTGGCAGCACGTCCTTGCAAGAGGGACACGCCGCAAACCAGCCACAAACGGACATGAGATAACTTGATGTTACATATTTACATATGTTCTAGCAGGAACTTAGGAACTGGAGAGTTATACCACAGAGGCAACTCCGCCTGGGATGGGTCAGCCTGTGTTGAAGAACTGACCAGTGCTGGTTCTCGACATCGTAAAGCTCCACCTACAGCTTCAATCGCAGCAAAAAACGAAAGCCAAATTGGCCAGCTACAAGAAAAAACGTTCTCCCTCAACTATCGGTATGTGCCGGGTGGGCAGGCTTCTGAGATTCGGGCCGTGGGCTGCGTCTCGGCGCGGCCAAAAACATCATCGCAGCCACCAATAGCTGTCAGCACTCTGGAACCTACGAATTTTCAAGCAAGCCCTCTGCCTTTGAAAAGGATCCTTCTTAATGACCCATTAATGACTGTCAGTGCTTGCTCGCAGTTTTGGGATCCAGCCTAGGGCAACCACTCGAGTTCCAGATCTCGCGATCTGCAGGGGGGCTGTTGGTATCCACCTCAGGCCCAAACACAAAATTATTCTCGCCTTACACAGGTCTGCAATGGCCAAGCTCCAACATGTTCCCAGGACTTAGGGTGGACACCGATTCTCCTTGGGAAGGTAGATGTCACACTGCCGCAACGTCTCCATGAAGGACTGCACACGAAACGTCACTGGTACTGTATCAGTGGATCACGACATTTGGAATTGGGTGCTGATTTGAAGTATTGTTTATGGAAATGCCGATTTCTGGCAAATCTTAGCCAAACTCTGCGCGCCTCTTGGTTGGCGCAAGGGTGAAAAGATTTCCCAAAACTAAGTCCCTTCACACATTTTCATGCTGTTTGCGGATCTTCCGCTGACACCAGCACGCCATGCAAATGAAGCATTGTATGATTTGTTTGTGCACATGCTCAACAGTACCAAACAGAACGCTTCGTGAGCGCTTCTGAATACAACACAACGAGGTACAGCCAGCACGTGGTACTTTGTCAGCCTGTTTACACTCCACGGCCGGACACAAGCTATTTCTAGATGTTGTGCCAGCAGCAAAGGGACACTAAAGGGACGGCCTCCTGTGACGGTGCATCCAGCTGCAACGAACATCCACCGACAACGTAGACCTGCAAACTGCGCTGTATCTTGCTTCGTTGCTCATGTGTGTGCAAGGCATCTTACGGTCAATCTCACTGTCACGCACAGATGCACACAGACACGCAGACGCACAGAAACACTGACACACATAGACACACAGACACACTGACACACACAGACACGCAGACACACAGACACAGACACACAGACACACAGACCCACAAACACACCAAACACACCAAACACACCAAGCACACAAACACACCAAACACACCAACCACACCAAGCACACAAACACACAAGCACACAAGCACACAAGCACACAAGCACACAAGCACACAAGCACACAAGCACACAAGCACACAAGCACACAAGCACACAAACACGCAAACACACAAACACACAAACACACAAACAAACAAACAAGCACACAAGCAAGCAAACAAACAAACAAACACACACACACACACTCACACACACATCCGCGCGCGCGCACGCGCACGCGCGCACGCGTGCGCGCGCGCACACACCCGCCCACCCGACCCGCCCACCCGACCCGCCCACCCGACCCGCCCACCCGACCCGCCCACCCGACCCGCCCACCCGACCGCCCACCCGACCCGCCCACCCGACCCGCCCACCCGACCCGCCCACCGAGCATGCACGCTCGCTCGAAAAAACCGCGCATGTACGCGCATGAATGCATGCGCGCACACTTACGCGCGCATGCGCGCACACGTGCGCACACGTGTGCACACGAATGCGCACACGCGCGGGGTGGCTCGTCCGCGTGCACTCACACATGCGCGCAGGCGCACACCACGTCCCGCAGCGCAGGCAAGGTGCTCTCTGTCTTCGTTCTGTCGGGCTTTGTGCGTCGTGTTTGGGCTGTCTGGCCACGACGTACGCGGCAGGCGGGTATTGTTTCCAGATGGGACACTCGTAAAGCTCCGGAATGATGTGAGTTCGAAATCAAATACAAGTGTACCACTCCTGTAGGAGAAAGTAACTACTGATGAATCTGTCATTGCCCACCGAAGTAAAGAACCCCTCTCAAAATCCACAAGATTATAAATTATTAAATGTACGAACGAATGCGCGTAATAATTATTATCGTGTGTACGCGCTTGTAAAATTATAATCATGTTTTCGTTCCTCTGTTTCGGCGTAGTGACCACAAGATAGAATGAATCTTCGGTACACTTCGGGCGGCCATTACAAAGAGTGCTTTCTCTACGTTATAATCATAATGTCCTGTGTGTAGTTCTCTTCTTGGATTATTAAATGGACGCGCGTATGAACCATAATTAGAAGAAAGATAAAAGAGATCTCAATTACTAATAAATGCTGTAGAGAATGAAGAGATAAAAGGCTTGAATTATAAACGAAAGAATAAAGTGAGTTCGTTCCCCTAATTTCATAAGCTAATAAGGGAGCGCTCTTTATATTATATTATGCGCTCACATGGTAATAAAATTATAAATGAAATGGTGAGCGCAAGACACCCCCAATTAAAATAGCAAAAATGCATTTCAAAGAGAAGCGAGTGCGTTATAATATATTTGTAGGGGTCATTAATATTAATGCTGTTCCCCTAATAAAATATACTAGTAATCTATAACTTTTGCTTCATTTTGGAGGATTCGTTCGCTAATTCGTTTCACTTTGTTACAAAATTATACTAATTATAAATGAATGCGTGTACGCCCATATTATATTATTAATTATACCGTGTGAACGGACAACACGCATGCATTATATTCTCGTAATAATATTAATAATAGTGTATGCGTGTGTACGAAATTAATCATAAACTCCCGCGTCTTGGAGAAGAGAATTCCTTATTAAAATCCTTCGTTCAACCAATCATTGAGCTTTTCCCGCATGAATGCTCTAGTAGCAGCCTCAGATCCTGAAGCGAAAAAACAACTTGTGTAAATATGATGGCACAGCTGCATTGTAGACAGATGCTGCCCATGGCTCAAGCCGGAGGCGCATTCCTACCGATTTTTCCTCTTTCTTCTCTTTTTCTTCTTCTCTGTGCAGGGCTTTGGAGGACAGGCAGGTGTCCCCGTACCCCGCACACGAAGTCTCATAGCGACACTTTGGTCGAAAAAGTGGGGGGAACAGCGCTAGCTCTCTATATCTTCTTCTTCTTCTTTTTCTTCTTCTTCTGGGCTTGAAGGAGCCCCCTCGGAGCCCTCCGCGCACAAGCGCGCCCGAGTTCGTTCTTGTTGTGAGACTATTGCTCGAGCGTTGGTGCTGTCACCTGCTTGTCCCCAAGAGTGACACCTGTACTCTGTGTCTCCACGGGTTGCTCTCTATGTCTATTTTTCTTTCTTTCTGGGGCGTGGGGGCGGACCCCCGTGCGTCGTCCGCCCCTATATTTGGGGCTGTTAGGTGAGCTGCGGAAGGTGCCCGTGTGCAGTCAGTGGTTTGCCGCCCCCGCTCCCCCCATGCCGATTGCTCCCCAGCTCTCTATGTCTCTTCCTCTCGCTCTCTCTCCCGCACGCTTAGCCCCCCGCGAAGGGAAGGCTGCCCCTAGGGGCGCGCGAGTCCCGAAGGTCAGCCTGATGTCTCTCTCTCTCTCTCTCTCTCTCTCTGCACGCTTGGCACCCCCCGAAGGAGGCCGCGCCCAGGCGCGCGCGAAGTCCGATGTCTCGCTTGTTGCGGTTACCGCGTGTTTCACGGTCCGCTTTGAGGTAGAAACTGGGGCTTCGAGTTCAGTGCCTCTCGATGGCCCCCTTTCGATAGCACGCGCAGTCGGGGTCGGGGTTCACAGGACTTCATCCCCAATTAGCCAGGCCAGAAAAATTTGATGTCTTCTTCTCTTCTTCTCTGCACTTAGGAGTCCCTGCCCGGAGGAGGAACCCGGCCGCGACGGCCAAGTGGGTCTGTGTCCGGTTTGCTCGGGCCCCGTCGGTTTTCAACAGAGCCCCACAGAAAACGAGTGGTACCCCTGTCTTAACAGCACCCCGTCGAGTGGTCGGTTTCACCACTGCCCTCACTATCGGTCGTTAGTCCCCCCCCTTCACTCTCATCATCCTCGAGGTAGCAGTCCGTCGCTCCCGTCTCGACGATCCCCTCGAACAGCCCATTTGCGACTTCTCCCTCCTCATTGCTGTCCATCTGGGTGGTCTCCCTCTCCCTCTCGCTCTCTCTGCCTGTCTCTCTCTCACCTCTCATGCACTCTCATTCTCACACACACACACACACACACACACACACACACACACACACACACACACACACACACACACACACACACACACACACACACACACACACACCCACGTACGCACGCACGCACACACGCACACACGCACACACACAACACAGAACACACACAAAACACACACACACACACACACACACACACACACACACACACACACACACACACACACACACACACACACACACACACACACACACACACACACACACACACACACACACACACACACACACACACACACACACACACACACACACACACACACACACACACACACACACACACACACACACACACACACACACAACAACACACACACACACACACACACACACACACACACACACACACACACACACACACACACACACACACACACACACACACACACACACACACACACACACACACACACACACACACGATCATGCACTAGTCCACCACATGTGCAAGCCTTGCCCTGCAGCGACGCACAGCCATGGCCCCAGCGCGACCGCGGAAGTGGCGCTGCGCCGTCCTGCAGTTCTTCCAGTCTTAAGCTGTGACTCCGAAAGCTCGAAAGCTGGCTTCGAAAAGCCTTAAAAAGTTCGAGTGGTGGCAGGATGTGGGCATGTCCTCTATCCAAGCTCCAGCTACGGGATCGAAGATGTCGCAACTTGCCAGGAGACCTTCTGCAATGCCACGCTCATCGTACCTTCTTGCTGCACACAAAAGCCACTTCTTCGATAGCAACGGGCAGCACGTGGCAGAAGGATTAGGCCCGGGAAACACTGTAGTTACAACATGTAGCTATCTTGGTCCGTAACAGTCGACTCCTTGTTGAGCTTTTTCGCGCAACTTAAAGATGCGCGCAGCCTTGCCCAGCACCCTGAATGACAATCTTTGCCTTATGATAGAAAATCTATCAGCTGCATAGACTACCTGCCTCAACAAGCCTGAAGCCTGTTCCGACACCGAGGGCTGGACCCACCAATGATCATCATCCGCCCGTCATCAAGAAGGGCTGCGGCACTGCCGGCTCGACGCGTGGGCATCGGTGGCCCGCGAACCTTTGTCATGGAGCGACTCCCTTTAAGATTTCGCGCACATTGAAAAGCATTTTCGGCGGTAGCATTCCTTTCACCTACAGATGAGACATTCTAGTAAAGGCTCCGGCAGGAAGCTATGCAAACGGATAGATCTCACGCGCAAATGAAGTCATCAGTAAATATGTCTCGGTGTATTTGGCTTCAGGTTCACTACAATAGGCACTAAACTCCTGGTCAAGTCTGATTGGGTACGATTGTCGCTTCACAAATCTACCAAAATGCCGTGCATGTCACACGAGTACTTCAGGAACTCACGCATGTCACTCCAATGCTTCGGCTTCGGTCGAGCAGATTCGAGCGGAGGTTGACTCAGGGCTGGCACATAGATTGTAAAGCAGGCCGCATGCGAAAGCACAGAGGCAAGCCAAGGCCAATGAAAACCAGGATCATGCACACAGACTTCACATTTGGCGGAGGTCGTGCTGAAGCCACAGTTGACTTTTCTGCTGGCTAATGCTGGCTACAAGGCGTGGCACATCTGCTCCACATGTGCGGACAAGACGCGGCATGCGACGAGACTGCGAACGAGAGCTGAGCAGCTGTCGAACCCGCGGGTGATGTCCAGACCCCAAGTGAGAGCACCACTTCGATTGACAGCACAGGAAGCAAAAGCCACAAATCTTGCGGACAAGCCGAAGGCATTGAGAGATTCAGCTCGGACGATACGAAGGTCCATTACACTTGACCGGCAAATTATCCTACCGCCGACGCGGTACCAAACTCAAGCAGCTTACAACGACATCTTCATCGCTGAATCCTCCTCGCCCATGACTCCCCTGCACCGGCTTTGACCGACAGTTCTGGAGATCAGTCACCCATGGGTCACTTACCTTGCTTACTTGCATGCATGATCTGATTGACAGGACTGGATTCGCTCATTTATCAGGCTGGAGGCTTGATGGGATCGTCTGCCTGGCTTCAATCCCCGCGACGCGAGCCAATGAAACCCAGTGGCGTAGTTCATAGTTTCGATAGGGCCTCCTCCAAGGCTGTGTCCCTCAAGGCTTCGGACTTGAAGCCCCGTGATGCTGAGAAATGTTCCCCACAAGTGCTGCGGCTACTGTTGCTGCTGTTGCTGAAGCATATCTGACTCTGAGGCACAAACCCAACAGCCATGCCAGGTGTTGAAGATCTCGACCTTGTTGAACAAATACCGGTCCAGAGACATGGCTTATGATCCAAGACAACAGTTCTGAAGCCTAGAGGCCCAGAATTGAAAGCTCATAAGCACGAACTGAACACAAAGCATACTTGGATGTACAGACGTAGCTTCATGACCTCAGAACCCTGCAGTGTTCAAAGGGCCATCCACCTGATTGCGGCCGCCAAATGCGTACAGCCTGCCAAAGAAAAACTGCTCCGTGACAATCTAACTTGGTGTCTCTGAGGCAGCTATGCAAGCTAGGCCGCAGAGCAGAAGCGCTTGATGAACGATTTGAGAAGCGTCGGAAGAGGACGAGAGGCAAGAGTGAGGAAATGCGAAGTAGGCTCAACATCGATACTTCACTACGTCTTGATTGCTTCGCATGTGCGGCTGGGCACCGTGCATGTTTGGCAAAAGGCCATCGAAGCGCAGGAAAGGGCTGATGGCCTCCCGAGTTGGGGATGGGACTCATGGAAGCTTGGGAACGTTTCATACGTTTCGTCTGCTCGCATCTTTTGAGCAACGCTTGAGACGTAGTCCGTATGAGAGCGTGATAGTTGAACGTGATGGCAACGCAACCCGGCAACCCCACCTCCACGTAGAGGAAGGGTGGGAGTGCTCGGCGCCGCCGCTGCGCTGCACCCAAGTCAGAGGTGCTGCCCATCCGCCTCCCGGCCGCCAAACATCGCAAAACACGACCCTGCAGCTATAAACTGCTGCAAAGTTGTAGGGTCATTCGAAAAGAGTATAGAAGAGTCAGCCCTAGAAGAAAATCGTTGCAGAGCCCATTGGACCAACCCAACAGAGTCCCTTAGCTGGTGCCTGTCATCCAGAATCAGCTGACCTCAGATGTCAGATGGTTTGACGTGGCTTAACCTAGAATAGAATTTCGGCGATGCGGCGTGCTGGTGGGGTGAGTGGGACAGTCGTGATAGTCTGGACATCTCTGGAGCGGCTTTGACGATCTCGGCTTCAAGCCAGGTTGTGAGGTATTGGATGGTTTTCAATGGTTTTGGATGGCGGAAGTCTCGGCGTTTGCCGAAGCCGCTTCTGGCTCCTTAATTTAGCTGCCACTCCTTCCTTCCTTCAAACAGAGTTTACCCTTCTAAGCCAGTCGTGACGATCTCAGATGTCTCAGAAGAATAAGACATTTTTGGAACGAAGAAGGGCACGCCTCATCTCGCTAGCTGTACCCTGGCCATGTCTGGATCAACATCTGGTGACTGTGAGGAAGGCCTCATGCGTCCCAGCGAGGCAAGTAAGGCAAGTGGGGCAAACTGAATTAGTGTTGCCCGGCTGCAC